AGAAAACAAGCGCGTCTGATTTCGCTCCCTTGGTGACGTGGCAAAGCGATCTCATTACAATATTACCGCCCCTTAATCTGTACGTTTACACCCACGGCTCAGGTACGAGCTGTAATGGCGCAGCTCTGTTCTGGAAAAGGGGGCGGGGAGCGGCAGCTCATTTGCATTTAAAGAGACAGGCACGAAAAACAGCGTGTTTCTGCTTCCACTCAAAATAGGCATTTTCAAAATGAGACACACTTCACAGACACATTCTGGGTACACCAGAGACTTATATTACATATTGTAGAAAGGGGCATAATATGTCTCCTTTAAATTCGACGGACATTCGAAATTCAAATTTTTTTTTTTGACAGCCCTGTTAGACACATGTTTGAGAGGAAGATTTGAAAAGCAGCGGTCGCCGTCATGTTTTCTCGCTCACTGGTTTCTTCCAGGACAAGAACGCCCGTCCTCTGGCTCTATCGGGACATGTTGGGTTCGACAGTCTGCCGGATCAACTCGTCAACAAGTCCACTAGTCAGGGATTCTGCTTCAACATCTTGTGCATCGGTAAGTTAGAGACTCAAACACAGCAATGCTGCAGATGCTGATATTTACAGCGGCATGCGAAAGTTGCAGAATCTGTGAAAATGTGAATAATTTTAACAAAATAAGAGAGGTCATACAAAATGCATGTTATTTTGCATTCATGTTATGCATGTCCTGAGTAAGATATTTTACATAAAAGATGTTTACATTTAAAAATAATACAAAATAGCTGAAATTATTCAAAAAACCCCATTCAAAAGTTCTTAATACTGTGTGTCTGATCCACTACTGTTTTTTGTGTTTAGTGATAGTTCATGAGTCCCTTGTTTGTTCTGAACAGTTAAACAGTCTGCTGTTCTTCAGAAAAACCCCCCAGCTCCTGCAGATTCTTCAGTTTTCAAGCATCTTCTGCATATTTGAACCCTTTCCAGCAGTGACTGTATGATTTTGAGATCCAACATTTCACACTGAGGACAACTGAGGGACTCGAACACGACTATTAAAAAAGGTTCAGACATTCACTGATGCTCCTGAAGGAAACACGACGCATTGAGGCGGGGCGTGAAAACTTTTGAACAGAATGGAGATGTCCAAATTTTTCTTATTTTGTTGAAATATAATTTTTTTTCCCCACTTAGTACTGCCCTTCGGAAGCAACAGAAGATACTTGCATGTTTCCCGGAAAACAAATTAAGTACAATTTACCTTGATCTTCAAATTTCAAAAAGTTTTCACGCCCCGGCTCTTAATGCGTCGTGTTTCCTTCAGGAGCATCAGTGAATGTCTGAACCTTTTTTAATAGTTGTGTTTGAGTCCCTCAGTGTGAAAAGATGAATCTCAAAATCATACTGTCACTGTTGGAGAGGGTTCAAATATGCAGAAGATGCTGGAAAACTGAAGAATCTGTGATATCAGTGAGATAACAGTGCAGCAGATACTGACATAAACTGATCTAAATATCAGTCGTCTCTATATCTCCAGTAATCTGTCTCAGTACGATGAGATTGAAATGCTCCAAACATATAATGCAGTGATTGAGAGCTGAAGAAATAAAGGCTCCTCAGAAGATGTGAGATGTTCTGGAGGCTTGTGAAGATCATTCCTCCGCTGAGGAACAGTGAAAGTAAAGCTTCTGGAAACAAACGCTCCTCAAAAGATCCTGAGGATCAGATTTGAGACTCTAAAACATGATTGATGGAGAATCAAGTAAAGCTGAGCTGCTTCAGTCCAGTGAGTGTTCATCTGGAGATATTACTGCAGTTATTCTGATGCTTACTTGATCAAAATCAGTCAAGATTTGACACGAGAAGCGTTTCTACAATTACACTAAAAGAGCTTTTACTGGATTAAACACTAAACTCTCAATCAGACAAAAGTAGACGTGAGGAGATTGAGTGTGAAACAAGTTTAACAGCAAAGTTTGATCATTTAGAGCTTTAGAAATTATGGTTTATTATAGAGTTAATAAGTACAGTGTCTTGCGTATGTGTACATGGAGTAAGTATATTGCACTTATTCCTCCAGGAGAAACTGGGATCGGTAAATCCACGCTGATGGACACTCTTTTCAACACCAATTTTGAGAATTTCGAGTCGTCCCATTTTGAGCCGAAGGTGAAGTTGCGAGCGCAGACGTACGATCTTCAGGAGAGCAACGTTCGTCTGAAGCTCACCGTGGTTAATACTGTCGGCTTCGGCGATCAGATGAACAAACAACAGAGGTCCGTTCTGATCATTTACTGATTTAACATCCAGTGCTGTTCACTGTTAAAGGTTTGGAGTAGAGTTGAGTTTGTTTCTTCGTCAGATTTGGAGGAATGTAGCATTGCATCAGTGTCTCAGCAGTGAATGGGTGCCGTCAGAATGAGTTAAAAACGTCTTAATGCTGATAAAAAAAGAAAACAAATAGATAAAATAGAATTAGAATAGAGAGTGCTAGAGTTAGAGGGTCAAATAAAGATGAAAGAGCGGTGTATTTTTAAGCGGGTTATTCAATATAATATTAATATTGCAAAGGTCCTAAAAAGTCTCAATTATAGAAAATTAAGGTCTTAAGTCAGGTAAAAAAAAAAAAAATTCATAAAGTCATGACATTACAGTTCAAAAAATGAATATATTCCTCAGTATTTTTTTGTTTTCTAATATAAATATCTAAACATCCTTACTGGAGAAGCAAATATGCACATTAAATCATATGGAGAAGCATACGAAATCTTGTTTTGTGGGAAATCGAACAAAAATAAGTGAGTTTATGATCAAAACAAGAACAAATATCTGTCGATGCCGAATAAAAACTAGTTTCTCTTTGAATTAAGTTGATTTTTCGGAACCTATTTGCAGATATGTGTTCTTGTTTTAATCATAAACTCACTTCATTTTGATCTATTTCTTCACGTGTTCATTTTGCATCTCAAGTATCTTGATTTAATAATCGTTAGACGTTTGCACTGGAAGACAAGACACAAATACTGCATTATTTTGCAGTGTGATCAGAAGATGCAATAAAAGTTATTTCCATATTCTAGTGTTCGGGAGCAGAGACATTCACACCTCAAGCTATTGTTTTGGAAAAATTAATTTAAAAGCAATAGAAATCTGTTGGAAGTTGCGTTTTTAATCTAAAAAGTTGGTTATACACTAGCAGTCAAACGTTTTTGAACGGTAAGATTTTTAATGTTTTTAAAGAAGTCTCTTCTGCTCAGCAAGCCTGCATTTATTTGATCAGAAATGCAGCAAAAACAGTAAAATTGTGAAATATTATTATGATTTAAAATATCCATTTTCTATGTGAATATCTGTTAAACTGTAATGTATTTCTGTGATGCGCAGCTGTATTTTCAGCATCATTACTGCAGTCTTCAGTGTCACATGATCTTCAGAAATCATTCTAATATGCTGATTTGCTACTCGAGAAACATTTATTATTATTATTATTATTATTAGCAATACTTAAAACAGCTGAGTAATTTTTTTCAGGATTCTTTGATGAATAAAAAGATCCAAAGATTGATCTGAAATAAAAACCGTTCGTAACATTATACACGGACTATACCATTCAAAAGCTTGGTGTCAGTATAATTAATAATTATTATTTTTTTGGGAAAGAAATTATAAACATTTATCTTATTTCAGGTATAAAAATTAATTAATTTTAGTTTCAGATTTACTTTGTTATTTTAGTGCATGAATGAAAATGAGAAATGTTGGCTTGGCAACTAGTTGAAATTTATTTATTCGTTTAATTTAAGTTAATAATGCTAATTTTATTTCAGGTGTCAAAAATGTGTTTTAATTTTCGGTTTTGTACAACTCTAATAACCCTGATTATGGCATTTAACTTATCACAGAATATGGGTTTTATTTTGCTATGCAAAGCTCACAGGAAATAAAGCATGCACTGACTACAAATATAATCAGTTATTAATATTCAATCGATTCTCTTGTCTTTGATTACAGCAGCCATTCTATGGGCTTTACGTGTGTTGTACCTAATTTCTCCTAATTTATTCCCAAACCTGAGAGTCTTTCATCATCTTGGATTCAGGAATTATAGGCTGGGAATAACGAGTGCAGGCTTTGCATGAAATTATGCTGCACAATCGGCAGGATTTGTTGCATCATCACAAATAAAACGATTAGCTTTACACTCCACAACATCATTAATGCCATTTTAATAATAGTTTGAATCAAGGCTGAAGATTAATTTTGACTGTTGTTGTTATATTGACTCATTCGCTGAATCGCAGATGATTACGTCGGACTCAAAAGGAGTCATTAGTGTGTCATTTGCACATTTTGGAAGCAGTGTTAATCTAGAACTAGATAAAAGAGTTCGGCAAGACAAACTTTAGGTTGGCTTGAGAAAGCCTAGCCTGAAAGTTTAAAGCAGTTTTGAAAGCCTGAAGTTTGAAAATTTAGATAGATTAGATAGATGTTGATAACATGTTTCTAGCATGCTTAGCATTATTGGCCTGTCACTAGCGTATTGCTGGCATGATTAGCAAGTAACTAGCATGTTCCTAGCATGATTAACAAGTTACTAGCATGATTAGCATGTTACTATGCATGTTTCTAGCATGATTAGCAAGTCACTAGCATGTTGCTAGCATGTTTCTAGCATGATTAACACATGTTACTAGCATGTTGTTCGCATGATTAGCAAGTGACTAGCATGGTTTTTAACATGATTAGCAAGTTACTAGCATGTTTCTAGCATGATTAGCAAGAAACTAGCATGTTGCTAGCATGTATAGCAAGTTACTAGCATGTTTCTAGCATGATTAGCAAGTTGCTAGCATGTTTCTAGCATGATTAACACGTTACTAGCATGTTGTTAGCATGATTAGCAAGTGACTAGCATGGTTTTTAACATGATTAGCAAGTCACTAGCATGTTGCTAGCATGTTTCTAGCATGATTAGCAAGAAACTAGCATGTTGCTAGCATGATTAGCATGCTACTAGCATGTTGGTATGTTTCTAGCATGATTAGCATGTCGCTTAGATAGATAGATAGATAGATAGATATTAGAAATATTAGATTATTTTGAATGAGTTTGAATGGGTTAGAAATAGTACATAGAAGGCAAGTCTGATTGAGTCTAATGTGCTTCAGTGTGTTTAGATTTGAATTTTGACAGTTGGAGTTTGAATAGTCTTGGCTCATCTGAACATTCCGTCGATGTAAATCTATGGGATTTTTATGATTTTTAATCTTAATCTTTATGAAAACCATAAGTCGAATCAGTCTGAAAAGACAAAGCACACTAAGTCAGATCAGTCTGAAGAGCTGGGCTGAGTTTGGTGGTTCTAGCTTGAAAGCTCTAGGAGGAGTAGCATTCAGAAATGTAGTCTAAGAAGAATAATAATAAAAAGCTTAAATAGCAGATCAGTAGGTTGGCTTTCTCAGGCTAACCTAATAACGTGCACGATCATGCTCTTCCAGGGCCATCTTCCGTTCGCTGTGGTGGGCAGTACAGAGGAGGTGAGCATCGGGAACAAGATGGTGAAGGCGAGGCAGTATCCCTGGGGCGTTGTGCAGGGTGAGCCTTTATCAGACGCACATTCACTCTTATCATGAGTTATACGCGAGGGGTGTGACTCGGCACTGGTTTCACCATTCAATTAGATTACGATTATCATGTCAATGATTCGATTCAATTCAATGCATCACGATTAGGGTTGGGTACCGTTCACATTTTAACCGGTACGGTACCGGTATCGGTACCTTTTTTTCGGTACTTTACTCTCTGTGTAATTACAAAAACATTTATTTCAGTGAAAAAATAAGTCCAAAAGTCTCAATTTCAACATTTTGAACAATAGGGCTCTACAAACTTTTTTTTTTTTTTCCAGAAATTCTTTTTAATTTTTCTGAAAATCAAATATTCGTCCAAAATTGACGAATTCCGTGGCATTCCGCGCTATAGAGTAAATTACGTTTTTATGAATGGACTCCGCGATCCCGTCCACGTTTTCGTAGAAACCACATACGGCCCTAGAAATGTAACCACACTTCAGAACATTTCGGCTCGCCCTGTGTGTTGTTTGAACGAGTCTCTCTTTCTCTCTCCGTAGCGTATGCGCCCAGATGCGTTCTCAGCTACCGAAATATGGCACCGATTGATTTAACGTGAATCGGTACTCGGTAGTACCGACGTAATTCGGCCGGTACCCTTAAAAGTACCGAGTTCGGTACCCAACTCTAATCACGATTGTATCAAATTTATTTTGTGTATTTTTATTAAATTATATAAGCAGGCTACGTTTAACTCTTTCCCCGCCAAACACAGAACTTTCCGTGTTTTCGCTGTTGTACGCTAGGGGGCGCTATTACGCATCTCCTGAATGAGTCTAGAATCACTCGATCAAAAACACAGGCGAGGAAGACGCAGAAACCAGCGATCTCGTATGTATGCATATGAAAAATAATGCGATCGTCAACACTAACCGCGTATAAATGAAAACTGCCTAATGTTAGCGAGTGACGTGTGGATGCAGAAAGTGTGCAAGCTTTGGGAGTACGCCATCTACTGCAGCGTTGCTTTGATAATATTACTGAATATGATCCAGATTTATTAGAATTTGATAAAAATGCGATTTTCTCAAAATGTTGCTTTTTTTATGAAACCTACCTACATTCAAGTGTTGATTAAAAACAATGCTTGACGCTAGAATAAAACAGATTTTCTTGTTTGAAAGTAGAGGGTCTGATCTTTATTTTGATGTATTGCATGTTCAGATATTCATACAATAAAATATTCTGGGGGCCGTGAAATTTTAGTGGGAATCAGCAAAAACGCAGACGGGGAAACGGTTAAAAATAATTACAAATTAATAATAAATCGAAACGATTCTTAAGAATTTAACCAAATAAATACAAGTGTTTTTTCTTTTTTCCTGAGCATTATTACAGTGGCAGCTTTAACAGACTAATGCACAGATCTATTTCCACAGATCAGATGTTTTTATGCTTTTTTAAAGTTGTTTCTTATTCTAAAAGAAGAGCATTTATTTAAAATAGAAATCTTTTCTAACAATATACGCTACCGTTCAAAAGTTTGGGGTCAGTACATTTGTGTTCTTTCTTTTTTTTGAAAGAAATTAAAACTTTTATTCAGCAAGGACGTGTTAAATTGTTAAGAAGTGATAGCAAAGATTTATTTTGTTTGAAAAGATTTATATTTATAAATTTATACTTTTTAACTTTTTATTCATCAAAGAATTCTGAAAAAAGTATCACAGTTTCCCAAAAAACACAACTGTTGATAATTCTAATAATAAATCAGCATATTAGAATGATTTCTGAAGATCATGTGACACTGAAGACTGGAGTAATGATGATGGAAATACAGCTTTGATCACAGAAATAAATTACAGTTTAAATTATATTAAAATAGAAACCATTATTTTATATTGTAATAACATTTTGCAAGATTACCGTTTTTTTCTGTATTTTTGATCAAATAAATGCAGCCTTGATGAGCACAAGAGACTACTTTAAAAAACATTACAAGTTTTACTGATCCCAAACTTTGGACCGGTAGTGTACATATATATATATATATTTGGCATGTCCGCGAACGGTCAATTAAAATTGCATGTGGTAATAGAAGCAAAACAGACATTTCTTGTTTTGATTTCGTAAATCCACTTCACTTCGGATATCATGTTTGATAACATTTTACAACTGTCAGTTTAACGAGGCAAATTTGCTATAAATATACATTTTTATATATTTCATATTTTAGTGTTTGTGAGCAAAGATATTCAAGATTTTTTTTATTTACTTTTTTGTCAAATAAATTAAAAACAAATTGAGATCTGTTGAAACTTCCTACTTATGTTTATTTTTGTTACTTTTTAATGTTACTTTGAACTTATGTTATTCTTATGTTTATTTTTGTTACTTTGAACTTATGTTATTCTTATATTTATTTTTGTTACTTTTTAATAAATGAAGGAAATAATCGAATAAAGTATGGGGTTAGGTTTGCTAGACCTGGTCTCAAACAGGTCTCGGGTGTGTTTGTGTGTGTTTCAGTGGAGAACGAGAACCACTGCGACTTCGTGAAGCTGCGCGAGATGCTGATCTGCGTGAACACGGAGGATCTGCGCGAGCAGACGCACACGCGGCACTACGAGCTCTACAGACGCTGCAAGCTGGAGGAGATGGGCTTCAGAGACACCGACCCCGAGTGCAAGCCCGTCAGGTGAGAGCTCGTTAACCACAGCTGCTCGTTAGCTGCTCTGGAGACGGGAGCATGGGAACTGTTTACTTAACCTCGCTCACACAGACATTCCTCAGATTTCTGCTCGGCTTCTCAAAACAGAGAAAGAATGGAATCTCGGCTAATAACGAGACCCTTCAGAGCCGCACTCATTCAGAGAAGGAGAGTCTGAAACATGCAGTCTGACCGCATTTAAAGCTATTAAGTCTTAATATGTGACCCTGGAGCACAAAACCAGTCTTAAACGTCAATTTTGTGAAATTGAGATGTATGCATCATCTAAAAGCTGAATAAATAAGCTTTCCATTGATGTATGGTTTGTTAGGATAGGACAATATTTGAAAATCTGGAATCTGAGGGTGCAAAAAAATCTAAATATTGAGAAAATCTTCTTTAAAGTTGTTCAAATGAAGTTCTTAGCAAGGGTCACATATTAAGACTTGGACATTATACGCAGTTATTATAGTAAACTAAAAAAAAAAAACATTTTCGGTACTTGAAATAAAAAATGTTAACTGAAATAAAAAATTAAAGAATATATTTTATATATAAAAATATATTTTTTTTATGCATTTCTCATTTTCTTTCAGTTTAACTTGATGTACTAAAATAACTAAAACTTAAATAAAAATGAATTGAAAAAAAATGAATAAAAGTGACGAAAGCACGCAACAGAGATTAAAAATGTAACTTAAAATTAAAAAAACTGAAAATATAAAATTAAAACTAATTCAAAATAGTATTAAAACTATTAGTATTATAAGCCTTAAATATTTTAAATGGTGTAGCAAAAGTTTTAATTATCAAAACAGGAATATGATTAATAAACTTGAAGAAAATGCTTTGAATGAAACGAGTGTGAGCGCAGCACATTTAAAGTCAGAACGCGGCACTTTTCATTACTTGGAAATAAAATATATAAAATATAAAAATATATTTTATAATGCATTTCTCATTTTCTATTTTCTCTCAGTTTAACTTGATGTACCAAAATAACTAAAACTGACACAAAAAATTATAAAAACTAAATAAACATTAAAAAAAAAACTAAACTAAAAGTGACAAAAACACAACAAAATGACAAAAAAATTTTAACTTAAAATTCAAACTGAAAATTCAGACTAATTCAAAATGTTAATAAAAACTGCAACAGTATCTCAATACTACAATAATATTGATTCCACAGGTTTGTGCTTTTCATTTTTTTTTTTCATTTATGCGAAGCTATTCCTTATGATCTACTGTTGATAAATATCCTAACAAACCATACATCAATGGAAAGATTATTTATTCAGATTTCAGCCGATGCATACATCTCAATTTAATAAAAAAATTGACATTGTAAGATGCATGTTTTATCTCCCTCATTTTTTGAATGCGCTGCTGAAACAAGTAAAGCATATTAATAAAATTTTAATAATCAAAAAGCATGTCTAATCAATCAAATTCATAAAAACTAATTATTTTTTTAAACAATAATAGTGCCTTTTTTTTTCTTTTTTTTTTATTCTGTGCTGTGTATTTTAATCTTTCTTTTCTTTTAATCAAATGAAAATTAAACACCCTTTCTTTTTTGTGTGTGCTGCACAACAGAGGTTTACTGTTCAAATTAAAACATGTAAGAACGATGTGTGATTATTCTTTAGAAAATAAAGCTTTAAAGTTTAATTTAAAAGGTTAATTGTAAGATACAAAAGTTGTAATCAATTTATTGTAAATAATAGTAGGAGTAGTTACATTAAGACGTACATTTTAGGCCTGCTGTAAAATATTCATTTATTTCTGTCACAATTTGTTCAAGTTAAATCAAACTTTTATTTTGACGGGTTGCTGTGAGCAACGAGGGCAAACATTTAGCATTTTAATCAGTTAGTATTGTCTTTAATAGCATCATCTTTTATAACATGGGATTTCGACCAAATATATTCAATCTTGATTTTTGTAAAATGTTGCAACAAGATGTTATATATATATATATATTTTTTTTTTTTTGGTGAAATATTAGTTTCTCTGACATATGGGTCAAAGACGTTAAGATGTCCGCATCAAAAGAAATTTACAAAAGTGATTTTATGTCGATAGAAAGCACATTGAATGCCTACTTTTAAGGTTTCAAATAAGTTTTTGGAGAAAATGTTACAATTTGGTTGAAATAATGTTACATTGTCATTCAGTGTAACACTTATAGTTATGTAAAAATTCAAACAACATGCTTATTCTGACGTGTACATATTAAAATATATAAAATAATAAGTGTGCATATTAAATTTTATTGTATTTTAAATGAGTAAAAAATTCTTACCGACAAACGGGCGAAACCTAGGATAGAGGCACATTTAAAAAATGTAAAATTACAACTAATTAGTGTTAGTAATTAGTCGTTTAATATGTCATAAATTGATTTTTGTTTGTTGTAAATATGCCTGATGAGATTGTTACACTGAATGACATTTTAGTGGCTCTCTTCTGTAAATTTTTGTTTGTTGTAAATATGCCTGATGAGATTGTTACACTGAATGACATTTTAGAGGGTCTCTTCTGTAAATCAGGGAGAAATGTATGATATTTATTTTTTGCTTAGAAAAACACAAACAAAATTGAAATTAAATTAAACAGAAATCTTTTTACATTTTTTGGGGAAAGAACAACAATTTAAAGCAGTATTACACTTATTGTTTTTATGCTTAAACCCTTTTCGACTTTGACCCATATAAGGTAATAAAACTACAAACGGGCATGTAAGCAAATATCTTGCATGCATACCATGCAGTCTTCTCAGCTGTCTGCATGCGTGTGTACAGTAAACTCTGTGTGTGTGCTCCAGCTGCAGGGCAAGTTCGAGCAGCTGAAGCGAATGCATGCGGAAGAGAAGAGCAAGCTGGAGGAGAAGCGCCGGAGTCTGGAGGAGGAGATGAGCATCTTCAGCAAGCGCAGAGCTGCCAGCGAGCTCCTGCAGGCGCAGGCCTTCAACACCAGCTCCAACAATAAGAAGGACAAAGACCGCAAGAAGTGAGTTCCTCCCAAACACTGCACACAACAGCAGACATGGCAGCTTACTGTATATTACCAGTGTCTAACAAAGTGAGAAAGCAGGGGTCGGAAGTTATAATGAATGCAAATTAAATATCACATATTTAGAGAGGATAATAAACTGGTGAGTAAAATATAAACAATAGAATTATATATAATGATATATAAAAACATAGGCCTACAAATTTTACTAATACTAATATTTTACTGTCTTTTAACAATTAACCAATCAACATATGAAACGTTTGTGTTGTTTATCAGAGATGACAAGAAATAGTTAATTGGTATCATCTATAGATCCTGCTCAGTATTTACATGGTCAGATGTAAAATTGAATTATATTGACAACTTCCAGCAAAATGAAAATGAAGGGAATGTAGTTTATTATAAATAAAAATGTAATATTATAATATTTATTATAAATAAAAATGCAATATTTAATAAATAAAATATTAAATTTAATTTATTATACATAAAATTAAATATATGATAAACTGGTGAGTAAAATATTAAACCATAATTAATTTTATGGTTAAATAATTTAAATGATGATGATGATAAATTTCCTCAGTTGGGATGATTAAGCTTTGTCCTCATAAATAAAATATAATACATAATTTTTATATTACCAACTTCCAACAAAATGAAAAGGAAGAGAATTAGGTCAACCTATTTATTATAAATGAAAATTAAATATTGTAATATTTATTATAAATAAAAATGCAATATTTAATAAATAGAATATAATTAAATATTAAATGTAATTTATTATTAATTAAAATTTAAAAATACGATGAACTGGTAATAGATAAACAATAAAATTATTAATAATAACAATAATAATAATAAATAAACTTAATAATAATAATTAATTTCCTCAGTGGTGATTATCAATTTGGCATGAAGCTTAATCCTCATAAGCCTCATAATCTTAAAATGCATAATTTTTGTGCAAGACTGCCTTTTTAAAATATATGTCTACATATTTTAAAACTAATATGTTTTGCCCTTTTTATTTGCTTATCAGTTAACCAACTTACAGTACTTTTGTCATTTTTATTGGAGCTCTTGATAATTATTTTATTTTATTTTTTAAATTAGGATGAACAAATTGAGCAAGCTGTCAAGAAATTGCTAATCGTATCATCTGTAAAAATCCTGATCAGATTCTAATGAATTCTGCTTAATATTTACATATTCATTGTATAAAACTGACAGAAATCACAGATCATTAGTAAATGCGTGTCACGGTGAAAGTGATTATGGGAGTTTTTGCTCATCGTGTCGCTGTTTGTGTTCTCACAGCTGATGTTTGTCGTTCTTCAGCTCTGGGTTCATGTGAAGGCGAGGCAGAAACACACAGCAGTGTTAGAAATCTACATCGCACCAGCATTACGGTACTGAATCACGGACACCTTTGAAGAACAGCACACCACTTCACTTTGGGGCCTAAAAACAAATCATTTCTTATGAGCACGATGCAGATGTTTATCACAGAATATGCTCGTTTGAGAACATGTTAATCTACTATTTTTACTGGTAAGCGTATGATTATTCTGCTGGGGACTTGTGTTTTTATGGTTGTGGGGGGCTAAAAACATTAATCAGAAATATACTATAGTAGTTTACCACAAATATGTTTACCTTATTGCATTTATTTTCCACATTTTATACTCATGTATTTAAACAGTGTTATTTCGGGTGTCATATTATATATAATAAAGGACATTTTATAAATATAACAAGAATGAGTAGAATTCAGTTACTTAATTGAATTATATTAAATTAATGACATTTTATATATATATATAAATATGAAGTATTTTAATTATTCCGATATTAAATATTCATATAGTAGAATTCCTGAAACTTTTAGAATCACAAAATGAATTATGGTTTAATATATCATTAAATAATGTTGAAAACAAACTTTGTCATGATAACAGCAGAAATGCCAAATGTGTCTTGCTAAGAAAATATATATATATATATATATATACAGCCTGACAAACCTGCATTTGAAACTAGATTATTTCCGTAAAAATTGCTTCGTGAGTTTATGAAAACGGGATAAATTAAATCATAAAAATGTTCAAAATAACTTTAAAATAAAACTCAAAATTAAACAATTGATTAAAGTTTTTTTTTAACTTGCATGGCATGCAAATGTGTTGTTAAATTGTTGAAATATTAACTTAAAAGTACATATTTAACCCACATGAAAAAATACTAGTCATTTATAGTAAATAGTGTTTTTGAACCATACTATAGTAAAGTGTGTTATACTGTATATATTACAGTATTTACAACACGTTGTTAATGAATGCTACAGCATAATGTAGTATTAACTATAGTGAACTGATAAACTGTAATAAATACTGTAGTATACTTTAGATTTTACTACAGTAATCTGTAGTATAATATACCCTATAGTTGTATTATAGTATTGGGTAAAGTCATTTGTTTATATTACTATAGTTGTATTATTACCACAGCAACTATAGAATTACCACAACAAATTAATTCAAGTACTTTACTTTACTATAGTATGGTTCAAAAACATTTACATTTAGTCATTTTGCAGACACTTTTTTTTCCAAAGTGACTTACAATTGGGGAATACACGAAGCGATTCTTCTTAAAGAGGCAAACAGTCAGAGGAAGTGCTCACAATACCAAGTTTCAGGCATTGTTTAAATAAGTACAAGCTAGAAAGGAAAGGAAGGAATAAGATTTTACTACAGTAATCTGTAGTATAATATACCCTATAGTTGTATTATAGTATTGGGTAAAGTCATTTGTTTATATTACTATAGTTGTATTATTACCACAGCAACTATAGAATTACCACAACAAATTAATTCAAGTACTTTACTATAGTATGGTTCAAAAACATTTACATTTAGTCATTTTGCAGACACTTTTTTTCCAAAGTGACTTACAATTGGGGAATACACGAAGCGATTCTTCTTAACGAGGCAAACAGTCAGAGGAAGTGCTCACAATACCAAGTTTCAGGCATTGTTTAAATAAGTACAAGCTAGAAAGGAAAGGAAGGAATAAATAAAGAGAAAGACAAAGTTTTGGTAGGAGAAGTCATGTGCCTGTATGATGGGACCCAGTGATGTAGTGTATATGGAGAAGAGGAGCGGTCCTAGAACTGAGCCCTGAGGAACCCCAGTGACCAGTTGATGTGCTTTGGATACCTCGCCTCCCTGAAAGACCTACCAGTGAGATAGGATTCAAACACTATGGTATTCACTATAAATTACTATAGTATACTATTACTATAGTATTTTTTCATGTGGGTTTTGGGGGTATATTTTCAATGATTGAAATATTAACTATGACTGAAATATTTTTGGGTTTCATCTGACAAAAAAAAGTTAGTGAATACCTCTCGTATGACTAGCGTTCAATCGCTGGATGGCGTCATGTGACCGTTATGGTCCTGAAAAGAGCGCAAATTCTGACTGGACAGGTTTGAGGTAAAGTTATTATAGCTGATACGGTACTTCAGAAAGCAGACGAGATGAGTACGTTATGAAAATGATGTCTTAATTAGCTCATCTGTTTATAAGTTTGTGTTTGGAGCTGTTATATCTCTTACACACGATGTGTTTTGATGTCATTAAGTGTTGAATTTCATTCAGTGAAACTACGAAACTAAATCATCCCAATCTGCTCGATTAACGCACAAACTGTGGTCAACATAACCCAAACCAGCAGCTCTCTACTAGTCTCTTCTAATGGGTCTCCGACAGCAGCGAAAACAAATCATGTTAATTCAGTTCAATTCATTTCACGTTTATTTGCATAGCGCTTTTCACGATACAAATCGCCGCAAAGCATCTTCACAGAAAATTAAAGTTTTAATCAGCAGTTTATCAGTGGTGAATTGATAAAAGCAAATAATAAAATACAACTAACTAACTCAAAATCATTTATAGTTAGAATTATGAGCTTTTAAAAGGGACAAAACAGTTCCCAAATCGTGTTGTTGATGTCAAAAGTTGTTAAACCGAATAATAAAATCATACAAATTTTCAAAATAATTTAAAAATAATTCATTTTAAAAACATGTCACTAAATTCCAATAAAAACACAGTTTTGCATTAAGACAGGCAAAATGAATGAATGAATAAGACAAAAATTACCCTAATGATATGCACAAGGGGCGTGTTTTTATTTATTTATTTTTTTTTTTTTATTATTAATTAATAAATTTTTTAAATAAGCACCAACCATTGAACAGGAGTGTATCTAGTTTCAGTCTTGGTGTGAATGGACCATTGGTCTCCAATTTATTTCAATAAGTCTGAATACACCAAATACACAAAATAATGATCTTTAAAATAGCATCATATGAACCCTTTAAAACTAAAAACACATACCTTGTATTTTCCTGAGATGTTTCTCTAGGCAGCATCATTGTGATGAGAAACTTGGCATTTCTCAGCTTGCATGATCAATCTCTCCTCGTCCGTATTTGATGACGAATATACTTTGCTCAAATGAGTTTTCAGTGTGGACGGATCAACTTTCTGAAATACAAACCAGTGACCAACAAAATGTAATTTCACTCATTGCTTGTCGCAGCTGGTTAGGACATAAACTCAGATTGATGTGGATGAGATACCTTCCATCGCTGCTGGACTATCATTGAATGATTTCCCAGGATTGTGGTCACTTCCCGTGTCCTGAGGGGAATTTCAAACAAGCCAATTTCCAGTTGTAGTGAACGGAATAACCTCGTTTGGTGTCGGAGCTCTTGGAATAATCGTCTGCATTTGCATTTAGATAGACAGTCGTTGACGGCCGTCTTGAGCGACTCTTCTCGGCGTTCAGCGGGGAAATTGTTTTTTTACTTCAGCCTGCTGCGGAAGATTTGAAATTTCCAATTACAAGACCGCACTCCATTCGGACACGAGATGTGACACTTCCAGGACTGAGCATGCGGAAAACACGGAGAGCAGGAGAAGAGAGATATAGCCGAGAAAGAAACAGACAGGTCACGATTCGATTAGAGCGAAAGTCTTGTATTGGACATGTTCATGTCTTCATACGGTACTAGAGCAAAGAACAGAGCTGAAATCACCAAGAGATGAGCAGAACCGCGTCACTAAACAGATGCTTTCTAATGACTCTAGCATGTATTGACTTTAGAGAAGTTCACTCAGAAATGAGCATGCTGAAAATGTGCTCAGCCTCAGGCCAAGGCCAAGAAAATTTGGAGAATTTTTAGAGAAATGTAGCATTGCATCAGAGTCTCAGCAGTGAATGGGTGCCGTCAGCTCCAGTTCATCAGTTAACATCTGGAGAAGACAATAGCTGAAACAAATCCAGCATTAAGACGATTTTAATTTGTCCATAATCCATAATAACGCTTCCTCCAGTGAAAAGGTGTTCTGGTGTGAATCAGGAGAGAAATCTGCACAGATCAAGCAGCGTTTAAACAGCTCTAAACAAATATGTGGCTGGATTTTGATGCGAGAGACAACAGCAGATGCACTTTTTCACTAAAAACAAACTCCAATAATCTTTATTTCCAACTTTGAAAAATCCTTTAATACAGTGGGTTGTGTATTTGTTGTTGCGTGCGGCGAGAGAGGATGACAATATAAATCTGTGTTGTCTGTTTATCATTTTCTCATTATTTTGCGTCGCAGTCTTTCATCACATACAGTTCCGGGCCAAACGCACGACTCGGATAAAACATTTAATTTACTGTGGTGCTGTTGATTCCTGTAGCTCAAACAAAGTCAAGAGCATGGGTTTGATTCCCGGGCAATGCATACAACTGATAAAACGTGTATCTTGAATGCAATGCAAGTCGCAAAACGTAGATTCAGTAGCGCTGCTGTATTTTACTACACATCACCGGATGAATGCAGACACTCGAGAACCTTTAATAGAACCAAACGTCATGATAATGATTCATTGTTTTCAATGAAAGCAGCTGCTTCTCTGCAGACTGACCTCTGTGTTAAACAGCACTAGTCCAATTAGTAATCAGTCCAACAGTAATGAATCCAATTAGTGGTTACAATGAGTGGAATTGATTCTTATTACGCTGTGGCTGGATAAATAATTGTTCTGCGAGATTCATTTAATGTGCATGAGACAAACTGCGCACAACTCATCAAATACAGCAGATTGCCACAGGGGTTCAGAGTATAATTTTTTATCCACATTAATTTCACACTTGTCTAGTACAAATATGTCACTTTGTTTCATAATTACAGTGTATATGTTTTTCGGCATTTACCTCAAAAGAATGGAAGTGAAATGTGACAGCAAGCCCCATAGGTGGGGTACATTGTAACATGACCATAACACAGCTTAAAATGTTATCTGATCCAATTTAAAAAAAATATATACAAACTGAAATATTTTGTCAATAAAATAAAATTATTAACTTTTTCAAATAAAATAATGGCGTTTTTTTTTTAAGAATTAAAAATAATCACATTTATTGTTTGACGATGAACACGTAACCATGCTGGCGTAAATAAAATAATAGCAGATTTGTCTTATTTTAAATGAATGCTAAAAACTGAGATGAAAAATTAACTTCAGCCAGAAATGTACTTTTACTTTGGTAAAATAAATATTAAGGGATATCTTCAAAAGGTTTTTGAATTTTGGCGCACTTTTTTTTTATAGTGTTGATATGGCAACTAGTAAATACCGTAAAT